ACTGGCTTAGGGATCACCTGGGGCACTTGGAAAACAGAGATCCCAGGTTCTCAACTCTTGAGATCCTGTTTCAGAAAGTCCAGGGCAGGCCTGGTCACCTTCATCTTATTATAATTTTTGCACTTACATTTAAAAAAGCATGCCAGGTACAAATCAAAACCACAATGAGATAGTATTTCATATCCACTAGAATAAAAAATACATACAATAACAAACTGGTGAGGATATGGACAAATTAGAACCCTTATACACTCCTGGTGGGAATATAAAATGGTACAGCCATTTGGAAAACAGTTTGGCAGTTCTTCAAAAAATAAAACACAAAGTTACCATATGACCTGGCAATTCCACTCCTGGTTATTCACCCAAGAGAAATGAAGGCACAAAACCTTATAAGGAATGTTCACAGCAGCATTATTCATATGCACAAAGCACCCACTCTCCTTGTATGCATTCTTCTACACCAGGCGACCTTTCTAAGAAGTTTCTCTGATGTAAGTAAACAGAATTGATTACTCTTCATATAACTTCTTCAGGTTGGAGGACTGAACTTAGCATGGACTTTGGAGTGAGACTTGGAATCCAATCCAATTTATGTCGTTTGCCAGCTATGAAGACAAATGGGAAAAATACCTATCCTGCATAGTTTCTTTCCCAGTCTGCTCTTAAAATACCAAAAGCCATAAAATCTTGTTATAATTTGCTAAATCAGATTCAGTCTCAGATAGAGATATCCCAAACTTAAAGAAGCAAAAGACTTGGGACGCCTGGGTGGCAAAGTTGGTTAATCATCTGACTCTTGATTTCAGCTCAGGTCATGATCTCAGAGTCGTGAGATCAAGCCCCACATTAGGGTCCACGATGGGCTTGAAGCCTGCTTAAGATTCTCTCTCTCCCTCCCCCTTTATCCCTCCCCCTCCACTGCCCCGCCCCACTCACTCTCTTTCTAAAAAAAAGCAAAAGACTTAGTCTAAATTGTCTCATTTAAATCTTTGATATAAAGCCAATTAATAGATCACTTTATTCTTTGTAGACAAAGACTACGTTTATTCATTTATTACTTTGATAACAGTAAAGAGAACATTATAGCTAAAATGTTTGCTTCCTGTTTTTTATTTATGGTAATTAAAAAAGACACATGGGCACTTAAATCCATAGCTATAATTCTTAAACTCTAGAGCTTATTTGTTTTTGTTTGTTTTTTTTAAATACTTTTTTTTTAAAGATTTTATTTATTTATTTGAGAGAGAGAATGAGAGATAGAGAGCATGAGAGGGAAGAGGGTCAGAGGGAGAAGCAGACTCCCTGCTGAGCAGGGAGCCCGATGTGGGACTCGATCCCAGGACTCCAGGATCATGACCTGAGCCGAAGGCAGTCGCCCAACCAACTGAGCCACCCAGGCACCCTATTTGTTTTTGTTTTATTATAAAATGCTTAACTATACAAAGAAGTACAGAGAATGAGATCACAAATACTCAACTGCTCAGTTTTATGATAATTTTTTCTATGCTTGCCAGATTTCACTTAAAAAATAAACATTCCAAGCCTATAGCTGCAGAATCTCTACAACTAGTAGGCCAACACCAACTCGTTTAGAGTATCAACCTAAATTATACTAAATGTAAAGTGAGAAATAGCTGTGGAGTTGAAATTAAAAATTCTGATCCATCCTTGGTAAAAAATATAGCAGAAGATTATATCAGCATTGACTGGAGACTGTCCCAGGAGTCTTGGCTGTTGCCTCCTGTTTCATATGTCCTTTTGTGGGATCTATTCCTTGTCTGTGGTCCCTGCCACCTGACTCGGAGAACTCAAGACCTAATGGAAATCAGGCCACAGGCTGGGTTGGGCCAATCAGATTCTCTTTCTTTATAGAGAATTTGACTGTCGAGATGCAGATATTCTAGTGTGTCCTCTACATTAACACTAGTTGTTATGAGAGCAAATCATAAAGTAAAATGCACATCTCACCCTCCATGCTTTAGAAACCTATTGCCTGTTTTTTAAACTCCTTAGCCTAAGATAATCTTAGATAATGGTCTCCATCATTCCCTCCTCTTCAGCTGGAACCCAACACTCTAATCACTATTAAAGATGACCTCAAATTTTCTCCTTGTCTTCCCGCTGAGAGGTGGAATCTGTTTCTCCTCCCCTTGAATCTGGGGTAGCCCTGGGACTGGCTTTAATTCACCAGAAGGTGGGGAAAGGAAAGCTGTTTGACTTCTAAGGCTGCAGCTTCTGCATGCTTGCAGTACTCTGTCTTGGATCCCAGTCGCCATGCTGTGAGAAACATTCCAAGCCATGTACAGAGGTCATATGGAGGAGATCCTTGATGCTTAGGTCAACAGCCTCAAGCTGAGCTGTCAGCTGCCAGCCATGTAAATGAGGAATTTTGGATGTTTCTGGCCAGTTGGGCCTCCAGATGACTACAGCCCCCCAACACCACTTTGGAGCAGAACTGCCCTATAGAGCTCAGTGAATCACAGATCATGAGAGATAATCAAAAGCTGTGGTGGTGATTTATATATATATCTATTTTCCCCTCTATTATTAATATCTTATCTCAGGACCTTTGTCACCATTAATGAACCAATATTGACACATTATTATTAACTAAAATCCATACTTCATTCAGATTTTCTTAGTTCTTACCTAACATTCTTATTCTAATCCAGGATCTCACCTAGGATATTGTATTACATTTAGTCATGATGTCCCCTTAGACTCCTTTTGGCTGTGACAGTTTCTCAGACGTATCTTGTTTTCTCTTGACAGTTTCGAGGGTAGTCTTGGTCAGGTTTTTGTAGGACATCCCTCTATCAGGATCTGTCTGATGTTTTTCTCATGATCAGAGTGGGACAACGGGTTTTGGGGAAGAAGACCACTGAGGAAAGGTACCATTTCAGCCCATCACATCAACGATATGTACTATAAAATGACTTATCCTGTCTATGTAGACCTTGACCATCTGATTGAGATGCTGTTTGTCAGGTTTCCCCACTATGTGAAGCCACACTTAAGGAATGGGGACTTAGGCTCCACATCCTTGAGGGTGACATATCTACATAAATTATTTGGAATTCTTCTGCCCAAGAGATTGTGACAGTGGTTTTAAACCACTAATTTTTGGTGTGGTTTAATACACAGCAAGATATCTGAAATGCACTCAAATCTTTTCACCATCTCCTGTTAGACCTCACCATTTATATATGCGACATATGCCTCATTCTGCTTATAATGCCCTTCCCACCTCCACCCACCCACTCACCAACCAACCAATAAAAATGAACAAAAACCCCTTATTTTTCCAACAAAACTCCAGTGTCACCTATCATGAAGCTTATCCAGAAGGAATTCTTTACTTTGACCTAGCTCCTAATACCACACAGTTAATGCCACTATCATTGCCCTTATGGTATGGTTCCCTCCCTCAACTACACTACAAGTTCCCAACATGCAGAGACCCTGCCTTATGTAACTCTGCACGCCATACCTGGGATCATCAGCACATACCTGGTGTCCCATAAGTGTTTGTGAATTAAATAATTAACTGAATGACTATAAAGGTGTATTTTTTTAATAATACCTCAATTTAAAAGAATAAAAGAATAAAAAGAGACAGCATAAATAAACAGCTATAATCCAAGATGTGTCAGTAAATCTACAGTAGAACTGGAGACTACCTCATGATGCACAGTTCCACTGTGCAATAGCTAGACCAGGCACTAAGAAAACCGATCACTGCATTTAGTGAGTCAAAGCCACACATAACAGACAAAACAGTTTCTGTTTTCAGATCAGTGTGACAACATAGGCACATAAATACTAAATAAATTAGATCACACGAGTCTCCTTCTAAGGGAATCAGGCCAATGAAGTCCATATCCTCGCCTTTGGATTTCCTGATATGTCATCAAAGACTTTTTACAGAACATAATTTTCATATTTAACTTCTAAAGTGTGGAACAATGAGACAGATTCATGGGTAACTGTGTTAGTGCTATTCAATTTTCTCTTTTACATACACAGCAGGGAAATTAAATAAGCCCTGAAGTGGTCCTTGGGAAAAATATAAGGAATAGTCACTGTGTCTCCAAAGGATTCAAAGGCTTCTGAAGTTTTACATTAATACTAACTCTCTCAACTTGTCTTCTTTCAGTATTTACAATAGCGGCTTTCACTAAAACAGTAGAATGCTCTGCAAGAAAGTGATTGGGTCATACAAAACTGCATTCTAGTGACCAGGGGAAAAAAGCCCTCCCACAGAGAATACCAGTAGCACTGGCAGCAGCAAAAAGACTCCCCTCAGGAAGGTCCAGGGCAGCAGACTGGGCACTGTCCAGGACACAGTGTGAGATACCCTTGGAGTATTCAGGAAGGACTAGGGACAACTTTGAAAGGAGAGAGACATGAAGGTGACACTGAGGGTCCCAATATGACCAGGCAGAGAAAAAGCCCAGGAGAGTCAGGACATGGAGCCAGATATAGAGATGTACATAAGCACACAGATAACAATTCATATGCAGGGTTTGCCAATGGTTAACATTCATTCACGCCTTAGCTTGAAAATCCAAACCTAACAAATTACCGTTTAAAGATTAATAGTAAAAAATGTCTAAAAATTATTGATGACATCTCTGTGCAGCAAGAATAAGGGACAGGCTTTTTACTTTTTACCTTACACATTTCTGAGTCATTTTAATTTCTTAAAATGAGAATGCAGAACTTGCACAACAAAACATTAAAAGATAAAGTGCTACCATTGCACAAACGAAGCATAAAGTTCTCTATGAGTTCAGTAAAATTTGTTTTAAATTGGTCATGGAGCACAACAAAAATGGCTATCAAGAAGAAAAAAAAATCTTCTCAACCTTAGGTTAGGTTTTAATCTAAATCAAGATAGTTTCTAAATTCACCTAAAACAAAACACCCACTCTACTCACCCACTGCCTGTTTTTAATTTCTACCCAAAGTGTTTGCATCTTTAGTAATTCACTGACCTTGGAACTGCTTTCTTCCGACACTTCTCCCTCATTGGTTTGCATGGGAACAGACTCTGTGCAAAACTCTGCAGAAACACACAAATACTGCCTAAAAGAGGTAAGAGGAGAAAAAAAAGGAATTCAGTGCAAAAATGAATTTTTCAAAGATTAGACTGAAACTGGATCACCAAGGAGGCAATAACCTTAAGTAATGTGTGTGTGTGTGTGTGTGTGTGTGTGTGTGTGTGTGTGTGTACACGCGCGCGCGCACATCTTTGGTAAGAAGGGGAGGAGAGAGGTAGGAGGGAATTTTCCCTACCTTAGGGGAGGATAGTTAGGAAATGTTGAAGATACTGGGGTATTAAACAGTTCTAGATTTCTTTCTTCTTTTTTCTTGATTTTTGGCAGAGGTGACAGTGAAAATCTTCAGCAATTCATACAGTACAAACGGTGACCCGTCAGAAAGGATGCCCACTTACTTCAAGCAGTGGGCCAGCTGTTAGGCTGTAGCAGGTCATACTGCCTGCATATTACAATAGGCTATTGAAACTGCCTGGGTTTCCTGGGTTTATCATTTATGTTCAATATTTGTGGTATATTTTTTAACTGAAATTATGGTACACGCTAATGGTGGGTCCCACTTTTTTAAGAGGATTTGCTTAATGAACTAAATATCAATTAATTTATTTTTACATGAGAACAGGCTGTCCTAGGGCAAAACAATAAAAAATAGTAATTTTTCCTCTAAGAATAAAATGAATCAAGTTGGGCTAAAATTTTATGAATTAAAATGTACCAAAAGGAAACTACTAAAAGTGTATGTAACATTCAAATTTTCATTCAATATGTAATTCCTGAGGAATAACTACTCAAACTGACACAAAACAAATCTCCATCACATTACAGGTAATCAATGTTTTAAAAATCCTTCTAATATTTTATTTTATTTTTTTAAAAGATTTTAAAGAAGCTTCTCCCTCTCCCACTCCCCCTGCTTGTGTTCCCTCTCTCACTGTGTCTCTCTCTGTCAAATAAATAAAAATCTTTAAAAAAAATATAAAAGGTTCATACCTACAAAATATAAAAGCTAAAAAGAAGCTTGCCCCAGGATGTGTGTGTGCAGAGACTCTCTTTATAAATGCAGCAGCCTGGAGATACGGTGTGGAAATCTGTTTCCTCATCTGCTGGGTGAGAGAGGAGTATCAAAATATCTACTGTGCTCACCTAATGAGGTTTTTTGGGAACCAATGTGTATTTATGTGACATGAAATGTAAAATTGGTACAGTGGAAGCTCTGTTAATCAAGCCCCATTCACTCACTCCAGATGAACTGACACTGCCCATTCCCAGTGCGAAACAGATGCTCACCGCAAGGGAAACAGGCTTTCTCTAGCTCGTTTTGCCCCTCATCTGTTTATGACAGTTGTGCAAAAATAAACTTGCTCTTTCTATGAAAATTAAATTGACAGCACTGGAAAAAGTCAGGAAGCTACCTAGAAGGATGTTGTATGCAAACTGCTTCACAAATGTCCTTAAGCTCTCATTATACTTTACAGAAATACAGACTGTATTTCAAAAATGATGCATTATATGGACAGCGGACAGAGAAAGACACCCCAATGATTTCTGTGCCATTTCCGTTTGAATGTGCTTGGAAAGAGGAACCTCCTTCACCTCTCCCGAGGTCTTCCTCCTGGCTCTTCTCCACATGTACAGGTTCCACCCCGGAGGATCCTTTCTGAATGGTGAGATTGGAGAAACAGGGCACGTGAGCTCAGCCCTTTTCTCTTCCTTTTGGAAGCCAGCTGTCCCCAGGGAGCATGCACTTTCCTCTGCTCTTGTTCCCCTAAGTGCAGGCCCCTCACAATTACCTGGGACTAGGTAAGCCTGTTGAATATTGAGTTCAGTGCTAGGAAGTTCACCTGCCTATAGATGTACACCATATTCTCCAATATAGCTTTATTAGTAACAGAGATGATACTTCGGTCTCTCAAATGCCCTACTCTTTTATTTCTCACTTGCTATAGAACTCAGCCAAGGGAAAGAGTGCTATTTATTGGATCTCTCAAAGACCCTAATATCTGGTACGTGAGACTAAAGTTTTGATAAATACACATGAAGGAAAATTTGGGGAGCAAAATGCATGTGGAATTTCTAAGGTTTCTGTTGGGGCAGGACTTTGGGCCTTGGTCTTTTTAACGAGGGAGCAACGTGTTTCAATCTTGTAGAGGTTTACATGAGGCCACATGCATTTTTACTGTCACACACCAGCTTTACACAATTAAGCCCAATTAGAAGTTTATAAACCACAGGCTACACTGTATTTTGACATTAGTGATGACTGTAGTTATGGTAACTTTGTCTTCAGGTAAGTGGCTGTTTCTATAGAGACAAGGCTGAATACACCAGGCACACAAGCCTTAGCACAGGCTTGGGGGCTTTGCTGGCGACAGCAAGGAAAGAAGCCACAGTCTGTTGTGGTGGTGGTACTGAAGGCTCATCTAAATGTCAGCTGTGCAAGTGACCTCAGCATTCATCGGCCACTCTGGCCTAGCAAGCAAATGCCCGCTGTGCTGGCCTCAGCAAAGGGAACAGGGCATTAGCAGGCTTGGTTGGCTTCAAAGTACAGAAGGCTGCTGCCTGACCTTGAATTATGCAGGCACAGCTTTTCCTAAGCAGGCATGGCTGAGGCAAAAATTAGACTTTAGGGAAAAGAGACTTTCTTCATACAGGTCTTTTAGATATTAATGAGTAGAACAATTATTTGCTGCACATAAGCTGCAAGGCAGCTGAATTTCAAACGACACATGTGCTACAAAACCAGTGAAGTTCTATGTTTAAATTGTTTGTGCTCAGCTTACACAGGCAATCCAAACGGGAAATGGAAATTAAAGAGATGTCTCACTATACTCATAGAAGGCAGGGAGGCAGGGAACTTACAGATGAAGGGAAAGAACTTGGTAATTGGGGCTGCCACTACTATAAATCCCTAAAAATTGCAAAAAGAAGGTGATACTTCAAGTATTAATCTTTAAAGCAGAAGACAGTGTACATTGGTTGGGTTTTTTTGAGATACGGTAAAGGCCCAGTTCCAAATTTAACCTCCTGCTGGCAGATTTTTCCAAATCGGGTGGAAGTGTCCAAGTCGTGGATTCTGTACACTGGCATGGGCTAACTGGATATCCTGGAGAGGCTCAAACCAAGAGGACCTCACCCATCCTCCTTCCCTCAGATAGCAACGTGGCAAGACTGAGTACAGCATTCTGAGAACGTACTTTTATCAGAAATTACTGCTCATGGGCAGGAGGTAGGCTTACTTTCTGAATCTGGTGGCTATGGGGACAGTGCTGAAACAATTTTGTAGAGCCTTGGAGTTCATATAATTTATATACTGTTCTGATCTATTTTGGGATCTCCTGAAGGCATAATCTATTTTGCATATCAATTTTGCCCAAGAAAATATCCAAGAGAAGAGTGGGTGGTAGTGGGGGTTTGTCCTCTTAAAAGTGGGAGCAGGACTGTTCTGAGAACCCCTCTGTCCTAAAGGGGAACGACACACCCGACATGACTGGGATTACTACTTAAGACCAATGTGCCAGGAGACAGGAGTTCTTGTGTGTTAGGGGAGGAAAACTCGCCCACTCTCAATGCTTCCTTCCATGGGAGGCAATATCCCTTTACTACTATTGGCCTTAAATTCCTGACATGCCGTCAGGATGAAGTGACTTGTCCGGTCAGTGAGTTTGGAAGGGGAAACTGGGCTTGCATAGTCCAGCACCCCCCTAGGCCCTTTCCTGTGGGGGCAACTATTCTGCTCTGCTCCTTCTAGAAGGCGGGTCTATCCCTGACTAGTACTTCTGGGTGAGGAAATCTGTTAAGTTTCAGAGCTGAGTATTAGAAAGCCGACTTGCTTTTAGACACAAGCCCAGTTCTATGTCAACTTTATTAGTAATAAAAGTGAAAGTCTGATCTCCACCTGCTTTACTCCTTCATCCTATATGTCTGTGGTTCAGAACTTGCTCAGGGGAGAGAATGTTTTTTATCAGGTCCCCTTCAATTCCAGGTTATATCTGGAACGTCTCCTCTTCAGAATTAAGTTTTCTACATCAGTCTCATCTTCCCAATTATCCCATTGCCATAATACGAACAGCAGACTTTTAGTTTATAAACTTTTCAACGCTATTTCTAGCTACTCCCCATGCACACACTATCCCCCACTTCACACAGGCAAATCTTCTCTCTATTCTCTCCACACAATTTGCTAATTTAATTTCTTTTTTAAAAAATTTATTTAAATTCAATTTAATTAACACATATTGTATTATTAGTTTCAAATTTAATTTCTGTTTATGCAGTTCATACCCGATTTGAAAACCCTTCCCCTCACCACCAATCCACATCTCTATCCTTCTAATATCCAGTCAATTTTTATTTCTAAAAATCTTTCCTGATTAATACCATATAGTCTGCCTACTTACTATATGTCCTATCATACCTATTTTTCTATTTCTCCTTTCTTTAATTTGTCCTCATTTGTGTGTGTGTGGTTTTGGAACTATTCTTAATATTTTTTAAGGTGTTTCTTGAAAAAGCCTTGCTGACATTCTTGTGAAGCCACGGCTTAGAGCTGTGTGTAAGGGTCTAAGTGAATTTTACTGCCCTTCTGACAAAATGGAAGGAGAATAAAGTAGGCCATGGAAAAGTATGTGGTTGAGCTAGGGGTTCCACTCGGGAAGTGACAAAGGGACCAGTGTATTGGTGCTAAGAGAGTGATGATAAAGTCAAGGCAAAGTGCACTTATGTGAAAATTCACTGGAGGGGGCGAACAAGTGGTAGTAAAGCTGTCAAAGCTGATGTGACAACACAAGCATTTGATTTCTGCTCTGGCACATGATTTCACCTCAGAGCTGTCACCAGCTTGCCGTATGTGATTAAGTGACCACTGACCTGGTGTTGCTGCAGCACACACGGAACAGAACTCAACAAATGTTAACGACAAACATGAGTAAAACCATACATCATACCGCACGAATGCTCGGTCTTCTCTAAAAGCTGGCAAATAAGCTCTCCAGGATCTAGCCCTCACCTGTCTCTCCAGTGCCATCAGCCAGATCTCTTTTTCCCTTTGCTCCAGTCATAATGAACTACTTACAGTTTCACAAATGTGCCAGATTATTTCCAGTTTCCATGTTTTTGTTCATACTACTCCTTCTGCCTTTCCCTCCCCTGGTGCCACCAGAGAACACCCTACTCTCATCATTCAAGACTCAGCTTTTACAAAGTATTTCCTGATCCATCTCTAGGCAGAACTGGCGATTCTTCCCTCAGTGTCCCCAGTGGATCTTGTCTGAATTCTGTTATATGATCTATAATGCTCTACTGGTTTTACTTGCTTACATAGATGCTTCCCTTATGACACCGTCAACTTTTTGACACCAGACACTGTATCTTGTTAATGTCTGTATTCAACATTTATCTAAAACTGTATACCTGGCATTTCATAGTCAATAAATTTCTATGTAGGAATGACCAAATTCATCAACTAAAGTCCTTTTTATTTAAACCGCAATAGATATCAATTCAATAGATACTTCCTGGATCCCTACCACACACCAGATGGTGCTCGGCCAGAGTACTACAGCAGAACAAGTTTTGGCTTTGAAGGAGCAGAGTCATTCATAATTCTTTGTCAGTTATTAGCTGTGTAATCTTGGGCACTTAACATTCTAATCTTCATTATTTTCATCCGTAAAACTTGTCAGGAGGAGGTGTTACAAGGATTAAATGAAATAATATATGCATAGCACTCAGCAAGGTGTCCAGGAACAGCCAACAGGCACTAAAAAACCAGTTAGTTCCTTTCCAAGAAGTCTCAAAGTGTTTACAGACTAGTAAAGGAGACAGAGACAGATAACGCTAATGTAAAATACTGAATGCTTTATTATAGTCATAGTAACGGGTGCACCTAGAATACAGATGAGAAAGGTGGCCAAGGTGGCCTGGGATACGAGAAAGAGCAGCGGATAGCTGCATTCTTCTCCCCTCTTCCAAACTCCAAGTGAAGAGAAAAGCATTGACCAAGGCACAAAGCCATGAAAAAGAACTATATATTTGGGAAATAGAAAACGGCCCAGTAGGGCTCACAACAGATAGGGGTGCACTAGAAAAGCAGCCCAAAACATTGATTGGAGTTAGGTTCTCAAAAGCAGTTTGTAGGATGGCATCTGTAGCAACTGAGAGCCGTGAGAGCTGTTTGAGCAAAGGAGTGACATGAGTAAATATATCATTTTGAAAGCTAGTCCTGGCAGTAATGTGGACGATAGACTGGAGTAAGGACAGATTAGAGGCAGAGAAACTAGGAATACGCTCACAGAAAACTGTGGAATTGCTAAACCCTAATAACAAATTCTAGCTTTATAAAAGGATGAGGCACCAAATGTCACTATCAATCATTTGGATTGATGTGCTTTTTAAAGGGACCTACTGAAGTAGAAATGCAAAGAGCTGATGTGATGGCCACTTTAAATACCCTCATGGAACAACTCAGGAAAGGAGCAATAACGTCAAAATGTACTCTTCTTCTTTTTAAGATGAAGACTCTCCCATTTCACTGCTAATACATGGTGTAATGAAATTTTAATAACTTACCTTTGACAGTATCCTGGGGCAACACAAGCCCGTGAAGATGAGTCTAGACTACATTCAGTGCAAAAAACCAAAACCCTAAAAAGAGAGAAAAATCACAATGAGCTGCGTGCTCATAGTAAGATGCATGGGAAGCAGTGGGGTACAGTTCTGAATCGGGGAGCCTATTACAAATCCAGGCTCTTCCATCTACCAACTATTGACTGTTGGGCCAGTGGCCTAACCTCTCAAGACACAGCTTCCTCATTCAACATTGAGAACAACAGCACCTTCCTCACAGGGTTCTGTGGAAGTTTAAATGGAATATGCATAAAACAGCATAGGGCAGGGCACCAATCACATGCTCAATAAAGGTGAGTGGTTATTAAGAATGTGAACTGAGGGGCACCTGAATGGCTCAGTCAGTTGAATGTCTGACTCGATTTTAGCTCCGGTCATGATCTCAGGGTTGTGGGATCCAGCTCAGGTCATGATCTCAGGGTTGGGAGGCTCCACGCTCAGCGCTGAGTTGGCTTGAGATTCTCCCTCTCCCTCTCCCTCCCCATGCTGGAGCTCTCTCTAAATCAATCTTAAAAAATACCCAGTGTGAACTGAAATACCTTCTGAAGAAACACTAAAACCTATATTAAAACTTTATTATTGATTTTACCTTATCTGTTCTACCAGAAAAATGCCAAGTTGCCTTTTCAGCTTCTCCATTTGACATGAGGATATCTCATGATCACTTCAGATTCAACGCATCCCAAACGGTATTCTTCATCCCCTGCCCAGATCTCATTCTCCCGTCTCCACTGTCTTATCAAGGGCACCATCTTCTGCCCAGTTGCTTGGGTCAGAACCTCGGGTTCATCCTGGATTTCTCACCCTATCCCAGGCCTCTCACAGCCCCCTTAGCAATCCTGTCATTTCTGATTCACGGCATGTGAGTTCTTCACTTCCGTTGCCATTATCACTCCTTGCTAGTGGAGGCCCCTTAGCTAGTCTCCTGCCCCAATTCTTGCTCCTCCCCAGTCTGTTCCCAAATAATGGCTGGAATGGCCTCTTCAAATCAAACCGGATCATAGCAAGTTGCTAATAGACACAGTGAAAATTTTATTTATCTCATGATGGAATGTCTCTCTCTTTATATATATGAAATACATACTTACATATGTGAACATATAGATATACAAATATATATGAAATGAAAGCCACTTAATATTAGACATTTAAAGGTCCCAAGCCAGTCCCTTCAATTTACAGTGGCAGAAACAAATGCCAGAAGGAGATCCTGCTCAAGGTTGGACCTCTGTGTGTGTGCAAAAGTGGTCAAAACAATGCTGGACAAGCCCTACAGAAACTCATCTGTGATTAGCATCCGCACTGCTGTCAGAATGCCTGTCACTATTTGGAAGTTGGGCCCTTAGTTTCACAACAAACTTAATGTGTCTGTCCAAGAAAGCGCATTCCATTCCCCACAGCTGCAGATTCTGAGTTATAGCTTTAGTTCTACATCATGTCTTAGTGTTTGAGGGGGTGCTTCAGGGAATCTTGAAAGCATCTTGCTGCTCTCTTATCTGTCATCACCTCTCCCCTTGCTCATTTTTTAACAGTGTTTGAATAAATAAATCTCAGATGGAATTACACTATGATGAGTATTAGTGATATTTTAATTATTATCCCTATCCTCCTACTATACACACCGTTGTCCCAGCCATCTTCCTTTTTAAAAAGCAAATGTGACCTCTGAGTAGATTGCTGCCAAGATTTAGTCAATAATTACCCATTACCTTTAGGGTAAAATTCAAGATCTCTCTAGCCCCATCATCACTTCATAGCCTTCTCGTGGGGACTGTGCGTGGTTTCCTTGCCCAAAATACATGCACTCATGTCTGCTGAGGGCCCTTGGCTTAATTCCCGTCTACTCCTCTTGTAAGATCTGCCTCAGGAATTATCTCCTGAAAGTTTTCTGTACCCTCCTTGGCTGCACTAAGTGTCCCTCCTCTGAGATATACCATATAATATTGGTAGTGTCTGAGGGTCTGCTGTCTACACTCAACAGGGGATTCTTGTCAAGGGCTCCCTGACAACAAGGGCTCTCTGTGTCTTACATACCTAGAATTTGGTATCCAGCAGGAGTTCAATAAACAAGATGAACTGAATCCTGACATGCTCCCGATAACTCGGTACTTCAGTGTGGAGCTTTCCCCACTTAAATGGCACGAGGGAAAGCTGAAGAAGCTGGCTGGAACTTCCCAGATGGGTCTGGCCATCATGAAGGATGTAAGCTATGTGGTTATGTGTGACCCTCAGCACCTTGGAGAAAGATTCAATTCTTTCATTTTTTGTCACCTACAGATCATCAAGAGAATAACCCTAACTAATTTTCAGTTCTCTATTCTGATTAGTTTCTGCCCAGGCTAAACATGACTTCTCTAGACTTACCAGTGGTCTAAATTCTGTACCAACTTCATAAAGTAGCCCATCATTATATAACTTGTTAATAGATAAGCTTGGAAGGACACAGTGGCCAGCTCAGTCCTTTGCCTGCTTGGCAGGTGGGCTCAGATGCCTGCCTGGGTTCAGTGAGGAGAGAAGGAGTTGAAGCAGAGGAGGGGCAGGCGAAGGAAAGTGGGCAGCTTCAAGCACTCTGGAAACCAGTTTTTACAGAACAGTTTCCCTAGTTTCTCTGCAGGGCTGTGAACCTCTGTTATCAGATGCACTTGTACTCAAGATAAACATAACATTTGATTCTAAAATCAACATTTGGAATTATCTAGTTGAAGTTATCCACAGCACTATTTTCCTTCTAAGGTATGAGTAATGGCAAATTCCTTCAAAACATCATTTTGAAATGTTCTGTAATCCTACTATCTGATCGTATATAACCACAGCAATAACTATTTGAAGCATTCCAGTTTTCTGTTCTCTTGCAGAGTAGTAACCAGACTGGGCTTGAGATTCACACGCGGTTGGGAAGGTTTCGTGGGTCTTGGACTAAATCACTACTAGGCCCTGGTAAACTGCAAGGAGACCTCAAGAGCTCCTCCAAGCCCGGTACCTAATCTAACTCATGGGATGTAATCAGACCCACATCTTTCCTAGGGAATAAGGCAAGTTGAAAGAAGGACATTTCCAATAAATTATATTCACTTTACTACTCTAATATGGCATAGTTTTAATTTTCAAACTTGATTATTCAGCCTGATACTTTTAGGCTTAATTTTAATTCTCATTTTAAAAAATTCAAGTGATACGATAAGGCCCTTGACCACGGTCCCCTCTCCCCCTACCCTCACCCAGGACTCACCACTGTTATCAGTTTAATTTCCAGGCATAATTCTGGGATGCAGACTATTAAGAATACACAGTTCAGGGGCGCCTGTTGGTTGAGTGTCTGACTCTTGGTTTCAGCTCAGGTCATGATCTTGGGGTCATGGATCGAGCCCTGCATTGGGCTCCAGTTTCAGTAGGGAATCTGCTTGGGATTCTCTCTGTCTCTCTCTCCCCCTCTGCCCCACCCCCTACCTTGCTCACGCACGCATGCTCTCTCTCTAAAATAACAGAATAAATCTTAAAAAAAAAAAAAAAGAGGGATGCCTGGGTGGCTCAGTTGGTTAAGCACCTGCCTTTGGCTCAGGTCATGATCCCAAGGTCCTGGGATGGAGTCCCGCATCAGGTTCCTTGCTCAGCAGGGAGTCTGCTTCTCCCTCTGCCTGCCACTCCCCCTGCTTGTGCTCTCTCTCTCTCTCTCTCTCTCTCTGACAAATAAATAAAATATTTAAAAAAAAAAGAATACACAGCTCATCCTTGAACAACATGGGTTTGAACTGTGTGGGCTCATTTCTATGCAGACTTTTTTACAGGACAGTTCTATAATTGTATTTTTTTCTTATGATTTTCTTAAGAACATTTTCTTTTCCCTAGCTTACTTTATTGTAAGAATGCAGTATGTAATACATATAAAATGCAAAATATATGTTAATCGACTGCTTATTTATTGGTAAGGCTCCCAGTCAACAATAGACTATTAGTTAAGTTTTTGGGGAATCCAAAGTTATACACAGATTTTCGGCTGCACAGGGGGTCAGGCACCCCTAACCCCTGCGTTGCTCAGGGGTCAAGCATATTGCAAACTTTTAACTGAGTCACAAGTAACACTGAAAGCCCTGACTGCTTACATCACTGGCAACTGGCCTGACTTCAAGCAAGATGTCCAGAAGAGGCACCTTAAGCGAAGCAGCAGATGTGAGGTGGAGCAGAACACCAGCAAGGGAGCCTTTGCAGGAGGTGAGCACAGATGCCAGGAGAATCAGGGCAGACAGGAGGGTACCGCACATCCAGCTCTATAAGCGGGGTGCCCAGCCCAAGTGGGCAAGAAGGAACCTATTTAAGTAATACAAATAATAATATCGAAAGCCCAAGCAACAGAGGTGGAGGTAACTTTGCTACAGGCAGATGGGTATATTTAGCTGCCAATACACAAGCGTTATGATTGTTCCAGGATCTGGAAATGTTACCTGTGCAGTTTCAGGTCACCTCTACTTAAGTTCAACACTTTGGAAGTTCTATAAAATGTTCCAGTCTGCACATTCCAAAAACCATCTCCTTTAATCCTAAAATCTCTTCTAGTTTTTGTGCCCTCCTTCCCCTTTCCTCTTCTAGTCAAGTTTCTTCAAAAAGAAGTTTATATTTGTGGTCACAACGCCCTTACCTCTCATTCACTTACTAATCATTGCAATATGATATCTTCCCCTATCAATCCCATTATCATATACAATGGCTATTATTCATCTGTTTTGTTTTAACCTCTCTTCCACATTTAAAAATCAGAATGACCTGAAAATCTTATCATTTGGGTGCTCCTTTTCTATTTTGCTATCAAGGATACTGTAGATCCAGGGGCACCTGGCTGGCTCAGTCGATGGAGCATATGACTCTTGATCCCAGGGTTGTGAGTTTGAGCTCCGCGTTGGATGTAGAGATTACTTAAAAAATAAAAATAAAAAAAAGATACTGCAGATCCAGTCACTGAGCCAGAGGCACCTTGTTTTAGTTGCCGGTCTTTTAGCTGTGTCTAGGTCCTCCTATCTCCCTGGGTTTGCAGCCAGCCCAAGGCCTTTGTCAATGCTGTTGATTTTCAGATTCACAAACGAGCAGAATGGTGCTGGGTGAGGAGCTACTGCCTCTGTACATGGGGGACAGGGAGACATGGGTTGCGGTGAGGGAACCAAACTCACTCCTGGCCTCAAGGATTGAGTCTAGTTCTGATCCCCAAACTGTCATGGATCATGTCTAGTCCCTTTACCCCACAGAAGGAGCCAAATTCATTACTTGTGCCACCTTCTTAGACCATTTCTTTGTAGACTCTTACCTGGAGAATCTTTTTCTGCTTGTCCTTTCATTACTGGTATGTTCCTTGGGAGTCACACCCTTCCCTTTCTCTTTTTCCTATACACACACATCCTTATCTTCCCCCATAGATTCAACTACTATCCATGTCTTGATGACTCCCAAATCTCCCTAATACTGATCGTTCCTACAATCTTCAAAACTTCTATAAACTGCCTAACGTCAATGCACTTCGCCTCACGTTCCACAGGTCCCTAAAATGCAACATATCTAAAACCAAATAGTCTTCCCTCAAACTGTGTTCTTCTCCTTCTGCCCCACTTGGGAATACTATCGTCCCACTCAAATAAAAAATCTGGCACCATCATCAGTACCTTCCTCTCACCAAACTCTGTCAGTTCTAATCCCCAAATACTTCAGGATGTACTTTCTTCCCTATTCCTATAGCCACTGCTTTCTTTAGTTCCGGTAGTTTCTCACTAAATTTATTCCATTTTTTTCCATGGTTTTCTTACCCTCAAGACCTTCCTACCCCCACTGCCATCAGAATTGCCTATAAAGTACAATCCCACACAGCCTTTGCTCCATCCATCTTCAAGACAAAATCCAGTTCTCACTACACGGTGTATAAAGCCCAGTACCTGTTCACTTCTCAACTTCGTCTCACAAAGTCACATTGTTTTCAGTCTTCCTTAAACACCACATGGCTTCATGTGCCAGTGACTCTGTATGTGCTATTTCTACTTGGACTGCCTTCCTACTCACAGGGCAAATTTCTTCCCCACCTTCAAGATGCAGGTGTAGGGAAACCTTTTCTATGAAGCTTTTCTTAATGCCACACTCTTGCCACAGGTGGTCTGGATGGGTCCTTCCTCTGAGTTAGTGACTATACTTGGTATATATTTCCACCAGGCTTGTTGTTGTACAGACTCCTGGAGGCAGCATCTAAATCTTATTTACTACTGTGTCATCAGCATTTAAACAGCGCTAGTGCAAAGGACAGGCCTCTCAGGGCAGAGTGCTACCTGTCTGGGACCCCCAGACTTCCAGAGAGAAGCTGTGAAGGAAACTTTGGGACTGACAGCAGGTCCCTGGCACAAAGATGTTACATTTATTCATGTACCCTGTAAGTCAAGGATGGTTGCCTAAGAAAAACAAACTCAGTCTGAAGCAGGGATGAAGGAAAGGGTATGTGCTCACTTTCAGCTACTTAACCAGTTTGGTCAACTAATGCCTTCTAGCTTAGTCCAGGATGACCTAAGGGCTTCAGCAAGTACCTTCTGAAGACCAAAACATAAGCACAAACCACTTGGAGGTGGGGGTGGGGATCACAGGGAATGATGACTGCTGGCTACAGGAACAGCAGAGGCAGCTACTGAAACAGCAGAGTCAACTCGGCCAACTTTACTGCTTACTAAGCGCCCAGCATGATGCTCACGTTTTCAGAGCAAGGGCCCATGGCCAGATTTTACTGCCATTGTTGGTCACATAAGAATTAAACAGATTAACATGTTCAGCTTTTGTACCCAATTTATTAATGACCCATGATCAAAAGCCTTTATTCTTTTTCCATATTGTATATTAATTTTATGTAGGCTTTTTTTTAATCAAATAGCTATTTCTATTAAAGTTCACAAAATTATAAATGCATATTGGTTCACCCATAAAACCAGTGAGTTAGGGAAATTTTAATATTTATATTGAAGATGGTAACAGTATGAATAACCATTAACCAATAACCACCATTTATGCTGTGCTCAGCAATGTACATCATGGACACCTCAAAAAACTCTCATTTAACAGATGATCCCTGTCCTCAGAGGTCTTACACTATTGAAAAGGAGAAGAAAATCAGCACAGCAAGCAATTCCACAAGAACTAAAAGCACTAAGCTGGGTGGCACAGAAGTTAGGACAGTGTAGAGAAAACAGTGGGCTAGACAATCAGGA